ATCATCATCATCATCATCATCATCATCATCATCAGCAGCAGCATCATCATCATCATCATCATCATCATCATCAGCATCATCATCATCATCATCATAATCATTATCATCATCATCATCATCATCATCATCATCATCATCATCATCATCATCAACATCATCATCATCATCATCCAATGAATGATTCCCACATGTCGCACCACGAGGCTGGTCGAATGGGCGGGCTGGGCGTTCCGCCTGAACTTTCCTCACCACTTATGACCCTGAAACTCAAAATGTCATGTACAACCGCTCCTCTGATGAAAGGCGGGCCTTTCTCAAAATCTGAATCGCGCCGCAGCGCCGCACACACCAGGTCTTAACAAGCTGCCTAAGAATCACGGATGGACGGCGGGTCGTTTTCAAAATCAGGTTATCGCCTCACCGCCGAGCACATCCGTTTTGAATTCGCTAGAGCTTCACGGCTGGATGGCGTGTTTTCTCAAACAAAACGACGTGACCGCTTGAGCGTCGCGCACACTCGTTTCAAACAATTGCAAAAGTTCCAAGGCTTCTCATGGTGACCGTCCCAAAACGTGTGTGGTGACACGATGTTTAGCTGTCAAGCCGAAACATGTACGTTGATTCGTGGTGAAGTCCCAGGAATGGTGTTCTCGCAGAATACGGCGCAACAGCTACGGCCACCCGCGGCGTGGTGGAGTCCCCAAAATGGAATGTTCTCGCGCAGTTCTGGATGTTCAAGTGATTGTTTTCCAACGGGGTTTTCCTGCTGTGAATACTAATTTTTGTATGGGGGCTGTGCTGAGGGATGGACGGCAGGTGTATTGCAATAGCGCTGATGATTCCTTGGCTTACACTAGTCCTCGTCCTCCTTCTCCGTCTGGGCGCCACCTCCCCCCCCCCCCTCCTGGCCGAAGACAGGGACAACGTCGCATGTTGTATAGGATGCAAGATGCGACAGTAGGAAGTGAGGTGTCGGCGGCAATGCGAAGCGGAGAAAAAGCCTCTTTTCCTCCCGCAGGGCCTCAAAGAGGTCACCGCAGTGGCGGCGCAAGATAAGGCGGCGCCGCCTTCAACCAAGGCAACGGCGAGGCAAGCAAAGTAATATACATAACGCTCCCCCATCAGAGCGTCCCCTCGAAGCCGACGGGGGGGAAACAAAGTTTGCCTGCCACCGTCTTGAAATATGGCTCGAAGGAGCGGTTCATTTTGAGAAAATGATCGGTGGCCGAAAACTCCGACCACTGAAGCACTGCGTGAACATGCATGGAACGCTGACCATCGGAGCCACGTTTCCGCGATGCGAAGGCTTGGCGCTCAGCTGCGCTGGACGAATGAAAGCTGAAACCATGCAGCTTAGAGCAGGACAGGCACGGGCGGGCCCTCAAAGTACAAGAAGCTGCCGACGCGGGCTGACCCTTGATCGGCGCTCGCAGACGCGATTCCACGTTTACGGAGACTGCAACGCGGGCGCGGGTCCGCCCTCACGGAGAGCGGTCGCGAATCCGCGACAGCTCGGCGCGGGGCCAGCAAGACGCCCCCCCCCCCCCCCCTGTGCACTGCGCGGCTGCAGACGCGAATCCACCAGACCTTCTGTGTCCGCGCAAGCGCGTGAGCAGCCGCGGCGGTTTATATGGCGGCGGTGGATGGTCGTTTGCCCCAGCGCTGAGAATGTCTCCACATCGCGCAGAGAGCACCGGACACTGGCCATTACTTGAAGAAGTAGGCATCGGTCCACGGCGCCCTCCGCGCGGCCGCCAGCCGCCACGTTGCGGGCGCCGCGCCATTGGGCATTGCGAACGACGCCGAGGTCGGGCAACTCTCGCACCAAGCTGATGCGCCTGAACAGAGGCCCCCTTGCTGGAGAGCGACTTTCAAACCAGCTCAGCATCAATGGCAAGGGACGCCTGCATACAGAGCCCCACATGTTGACGAAGCCTTTTGAATTCTGAAGGATTGGGAGGTCCTTTGATGAGCTCGCGCAGGCGACCAACGTCGGGCAGCGCCCGTCGAGGCCACGGGCAGGAGCCCATGCCTGAGCAGCATAGCCTGACCGGACCAGCATAGCTTGACCTGACCTGGAGACGACGAGGCTCGCAGACTATCAAGGTAGCGGAGCGCCTTCTCCACGTTGCCCGCGTTTCCACGACGCAGCAAAGTACAGCCTCTAAGGCCATATAATTTAATCTCGTCGGCTTCTCCACCGGTAAGTTTCTCGCGCCCAGAATCGCCGCGCAGGTCCACCGCCATCTGGAGTCATCGCCCGATCAATGATCTCCTCGAGGGTCTGCGCCAACTCGCGAGCAAGGTCATTGCGACACCTCGTCCGCATGTCAGTCGGTTCCTGGACGCGCTGCAACGCGGCGACGCATGCTACAATTCAGAACTGAGCGCTTGACGCGCTCGGGCCCCTCAATGGCTAGCAAACTTGCCCCCCCCCCCCCCCCCCCCCCCCCAGCGATTTTACTTGCCCAGCACTTGGGGAAGGTCCAGGAAAAATGCGAACAACATGTGTCCATCTTGATCAACGATTACGCATCCGCCGTCCGTCTCGGCATGTCGCGCGGCACAGGTCACGCAAGTGTTATTGTTCAGCTTGCGAGTTCCGAACACCTGCCCCACCTGCTCGACGCAATCGTCGACGTGTAATCCCGCGCCACACGCAATGATATCATCGACGCGCTTAGCTTGCCGAAATCGGCATCGCGCGACATGGGGCCCGGGCAAATTCTCTCAGAAGGGGTTTTGAACACCCTTCGCGCCAGCCTCAGGGCTGGAGCATTAAGAAGCGTCTTGATTCAACGCGATCGTCGCAGCCTGGAGCGGCGCTTCGCATTGCCGCGCCGCCCCGAGGCGGAGCGAAGCAAACGGCGCCTGCCTGCTCACCTGCGGCCCCGGCCGTTTCTTCGCATGCAGGACCATTGAAAAATGCAGCGTCCGCGCATAATCTGCCTACGTGATCCAATATTTGCGGCATGCTGCCCCACTGGCTCGCGGCCGCCAGGGCGCTCGTCGCGCCGCGCCCGCAGCGGTGTCCACGGAGAAATCCACCTGACCCATCAGGCCACGTAATTGCCCAGCGAGGTCGAATCATGTTCCCCATGCGTTCCAAGCCAGTCTCGATGAATTTCCACGTGTAGACGCATCTGGACGCCGCGACATTCTGGACTCTGGATAACAGCTCCTCGGGCGAGCATCGGTTATCCGACCCTCTTTGTAAGTTCAGAAGAAAGAGCAGCGGCCACCTGCTTGGGATGATTGACGACGCCTTGCTAAATGGGCAGGTCGCCCCCCCCCCCCCCCTGGCCTCGGCAAAAACACGCATGCGGACGGTCCCTGTGGCACCGGGCTGCAAGGGTTCCAGCTGGTCCTCTTCCGGCTGATCTTCCGGCTGGTGTCCTCAGCGATATGTGCAGCTGCAAATCTTCTCTGGTCATTCACGCAAGGACCATACCTTTCGTCATATGCATCGCCACGTAGGGCGGCGACCATCATAGAGTCTCCAGCGCGCCCACGAGAAAATGAAGCATCGCCAGGTTCGCGGCCGCGTGAGCCGACGAGATATTGCACGAGCACGCGGTCCACGCGGGCGCAGGGCACCTGCGCTGCGTCTGCGGGCGTCGCAAGAGCAGGGGTCGAGTGCGCGTCCTGATG